TTTTCACAGAGGTTCTAGTGACAGAAACAAGGCCCTTTTCATTTTTTTTCACAGACATTTTTTTGGACGCATTTTATTCGCTTTTCAAAAAATCGCATTTTTAACGGTATTATGAAAAATTTACATTTTTTGGACGAACTTTTCAAAAAAATAATGTTTAAAACGTTTTCCAAAATGCACCGATTTTTTGACAAATTCGGCGATTAGTCGTCGAATTGCTAACTATGATTGATAATGAGCTAAATTTTTGGGGGTTCATAGCCCAAAGATTTTGGTGGCTTTGATATGGTCTTCAATATCTTGGACGGAGGCATCCTTGCCATTTCCTTTCCAGCCAGAGTGTCCATATCGTGGCTATGATTGATGCCCGCCCTAGGGAAAGACCAGTGAAAGGGTATGGTGGTGAGAAATCAGTTTGAAAGAGTTGTTATGTGGTCTTCAAAGTGGCCCATCACCTATTGAAAGGATTTGAGCAAGGCAGCCCAGAGTTTCATTGTGAAAGGACATTTAGGAAAGGTGGTGGTTGTTAGATAGCTCTGTCTTTCTGCGCATGACGCATCTATTGGCAATTTGCAATTTGCAATCCTCTTCACTGGAGCTGGTCTATGATGAGGACGATGAGGGCTCTTTTGGACATTACAATCCAGTTAAAAGCTTGGATTTATGATGGGACTCGAGTGAGGCCGGCTTTTGGAGTCTGTTGACGGTTTGTAGAACAAGGAAACCGTGAACTTACTAGTGCTAGGAGTGGACCAGGTTAGGCTCTGGATGCTTACTAGGGCCTCAATAAAACTTCTAGTCTTTGAGACATAGGTGTTGGTATTGGGATTGGGATCAGGAGCGTGGGATCGTGATACGCTGGAAGCTCCTTATGGTCGGGATCACTGTCCATACACCCTAAATCTTTGGGAATCTTGATCTTGACATGTTGGGGAGCTGGATCTCAACCTTTTAGGATTGCATGATAATTCCAACGGTTCAAGACCCATCTAAAAGCATCTTTTTCCTGTTTGGAAAATATACAAAACATGATTTTTTATTTTTTATTTAGAAATTGTTAAATTGTATTGATTTGGGAGGTTTACAAAAGAATGAACCACCCACACACTTGGCATTCATGTGTCAAAAACCCCTTACGGGGTCCAAAAATTCTATACATGCTCAAGTATATAAGTAAAACAAAATGTGCTGTCCAGAGCTCAGAAAGATGTCAAAGTGTCCTACGAGTTCAGCTGAGAGGTGCCTTCCTTAGCGAGGGCATCTGCCACGGCGTTAGTCTACCTCCAAGTATGTCGCCAGACCATGTGTGTGGCTCTGCAACGGTGGAAACTCATCAAAGATATGTTCCAATCCCCATGGGCAAAGGGAGGATCTAAAAGCCCAAGCTATTACGTTCTTCAAATTCCCCTCTACAATCAGTCTTGTGCCCCATGAGGGGTCGAAGCAGCGAAGTCCCACCAGAAGGGCTAAGGCTTCAGCTATTGTGGACTCTGCAAATCTCGCGAAGTGGGAGAAAGAAATAGTGTGGTGCCCCGGAATCTTTGAAGATGTCCTAATACCGGCAGGGCCTGGGTTGCCAAGAGAGTAGCCGTCAAAGTGAAGTTTAACTTGGCCGGTCTCCAAAGGAAGGAATATGCGAGCTGCTCTGAGGGAGAGTAAGTTTCTCCAATTGAGTTGGAAGTCCGAGAGTGAGCAATGCTTGACGAGGTTATGGTTCTTAGCCCAGAATATAACAAGCAATTTAAATTTATCAAATAGTACCATTAGGTGCAATTTCTCCACCCTAAATGTGCAATTGTTGCGCTCCAACCAGATCACTCAAAGGGTAGCCGCAGTCTCTGCGTGCCAAAGATATCATCTCCTTCATCTGGTCCATGGAGGAGAGAGGAAGGCCTCGAACGGCTGACTAATGGATGATGGGGTCACCCAGGACCAGCCAATGAGCTGAAGTAGGTGCGCCCCCACAGAGAGCTGGCTGTAGGGCTGTGGATAAACAAATGGGCATTAGTCTCCTCTTCTTCTAGGCGCAGTGCACCTATTAGGTAACTAGAGACCACTACTTTGAAGTTGGTTGATCGTCAAGGCTCTCTCAGAGAATGTGATCCAGTTGAACATTTGGATCTTGGTAGGAACCAAGGGGAACCTGAACATTTGGATCTTGGTAGGAACCAAGGGGAACCTGGCCTTCGGCATGGCGGAATGGAAAGGGGGTCGAATGAAGGGTTCTGTAGATGGAGGAGATAAAGAAAAGGCTTGTAGGGGTCCCAATCATTTTATCATTCCCCTCAAAAGACAAGAAAGTGGAAGGAAGGAGGGACTGGGAATTCAGGAAGGGCAGGCCACCCGTGCTCCATATTTTTAAAGAGATTTTTTAGATTAGCAGGCCATTCACAATTTCATGGACCTTCGTTTGGCGTGAAGCCAATTCCCTAGCTGATGCCCTTGTTAAGGAAGGTGCATCGAGTCCTAATGTTGGTGGATCCACCTGATTTAGGGTCTTACTCGGTTTGGATGTATAAATTTTTGTGTATCCCTCACCTTTTAGGTGAATTTTGTATATCGCTTCCTTGTGCGGGAGAACATTTTTGTACTTGTACATTATTATTTTTATAATAGTTAACCTTATCTCAAAAAACAATTCTAGGAATTCGGGATCAGTTAACAGCCTCTTGAATCTCAGGTACCACACTTGGTGATGACCCACCGTTTGGAAACAGTCATCTATCGTTGCTTGTGGGTTCTACTTTATAAGGAAAAGAAGCGGGTATCGGTCGTTCAGTGGGGTTTGGCTGAGCCACATCCTGCTAAAGTGTGATTTTCGACAAGGAAAATATATAGAACATGATTTTGCGATATGCATACTCTTTTATTTTAAGGGATATGCATTTAAGACTTGTTTCCTTAAAAAAGATCAATCTAACATGATTGTGATTTATATTGACGGATCCCTAAGGGCTTGGGATCGTGTTCCCCCTAATATGGCAGTGTATCCCACCCTGGGCCCAGCTCTAGAAGTGCGGGATTGCCGAGATTGCTACCAAGTTGAGAGATCCCAGGAACGATGATTTGAAGTGAGAGAATTAGGTCCTGTATTTCATCGTCATTTTCTGTTCTATGGCCTTACATTGTATTTCTAGATGTTGAACCTCTTTATTTTTTCCTAATGGGAAAATTTCTTGAGTCTTTACTAAATCTTCATTCCCAAATATAAACACCTGGATTCCTACTGTTAACTTCCTCCAAAAAAAAAAAAGACCTGGATTCCTTTGTATTTTTAGTCAACTAGCTTTAATAAATATTAGGAAGGCAATATCTTCTAAAACACTTATAACAAGAAGAGAAAAAGTAAACTGGCCTAGGATTACTAAAATGAGTAAAGTTTCAAATTTTCCAAATTAAATTCTAATATCCGTGATCAAAATTTTCAGCTGCATTTCAATCAAGATTTGAGCCACGAAACATCCAGGTAAAAAAGAAAGCATAGAGCTCAGGGTTGTAGATCTTTAAGAGATTAATGCCTGCATTTTGGATCTATTGGGTAGTGCTAATGCTGAACAATTGATTCTTGATACTCTCTTTCTTGCCCTAGAATCATTTGTTCAATGCTGGCATTTGCACATATGGTGTTGTACTTTTGTTATTGTAGTGATTACTGTAGATTTATTTCAACTTTAGAAAGTCTTTGTAAATTTATTGCAATTTAGGGATTTCTGGAACATTTGTGATGAAATTTCCTAGAGGATAATACCTTCTGTTCAATATATAAAGTAATCTTATGTTCTCATTAATTTAGTAGATGTTTCTTATTTCCAACTCAATTTATCGCTAAGCATACCAAAAATTTCTTTAAATTGCTCTACTGGACTATTAATAGAAATTGCCCCAGTTATTATCCTACATCAACTGTAAAATTTTCTAAAGAATATCTAGGAGTTCCTCCTTAATTATATCCCAGAGATCCTGCAAAATAGCTGCTGAAACAATTAGGTCTAGGAGCTTTATTCCTTGCTAGCACCAGTGCTTTATCCTGATCCTCCTTTTCTTGCATTGGCATTTTGTTGGAGTACAGATTACCTAAGAACAATCTCATCTTATTACTGCCTTATTCCTTAGGAAATCCACTGACGTTTCTTGCTCTTGTTCCCTTCTTCTTTTTTTCTCTCTCGAGTGTGGGGAGTGTATGTTTTGGGTCAATGAATCTCTTTTGGTTCCAGTGGGCTTATATAAACCAGATTTCCTCTTACATTCTCTGGTTTCTACCCAAATTAGGCATGGGCTAACTATGTTGAATGGGGAAACCATGTGATTAGTGAATCAGTTGGCTCACTTAATTTCAACCATGTTTGGCTGTAAATGACAATGAATGCACATTTTCATTAAAATACAAATGGCCATGTGTTAGATCTTGACAAACTAGATTGAACTCAAATCTGTGGTTGAGGGTTGTTTGGCTTCATTTTTTGCGTCATGGTGTGCCCCTCAGTTGAAATTCACTGCCAAACTTCCTCTCTTTCTACAATAAAAAATTCGTACTTCTCAGGCATTCAGCCCTCTCTCTCTTTGCTACTTTCCCCATTCTCCAAAACCTTCTTCTTTCTCTAACCTTGGAAAACTATAGCATCTGGTTTTTGAATTCTATAACCTATATGTTTTGTGTTTTGTAAGTAATTGTTAGAAATTTATAAAAACATTGGTCCTGATAATCAAAAAATTACATTATATTTAATTATGAAAATATGAAACAAAACGTGGGGGCTTACTTGAGAAATTTAGAGGAATGCCTTTTCTGCTTTTATATGGATTTTGGGCAACACAAATGCTTTGTAGTTTTCTATTTATGCAAGTTCATGGGGTCATAGCAACTGCTGCCTTCTTATTATGCATGAGTGGATGTTTTGTACTTTTGTGTACCGCTGGCTTCAAAGAGTAACCAACTCCTGTTGTTCAAAGAATTGTCATGGGAAATGTTAATACATTTGATATTATTCTTTGTTGTACAGGAGGTGGTAATAATGCATTGGGCATGTGTGAAGATAACAGCTTCAGCAGGTATTCAAGACGTGGCACTCCTTGACATCTTATTGGACAAGGTTTGTCATTTTCCCCTGAAGCATTTTGAATTTCATGTAGAGATTTGGTTTTCCTTTCCACTTGGTCCCAGACTAAATGAACAGAACTAATACGACGAATGCTTTTCCCTTAAAATTTGTAACCATGCATTCAACATAACCTGGGGCTTTGGATTATCGAATCCATTTTAGTAGGATGTCAAAACTTACAATAAAACGATCTGCGAGTTTCAGCTGAAAATATGCAAGGACATATCTTATGCAGCAGTTGCTGCTCATGCCAATCAAAGTGGGCGCCGAAAGTTAGCTGCAATGCTTGTTGAATATGAACCACGTTCCTCTGAGCAGGTTTTTCTTCTCATGAACTCTCAGCACTTGATTCCTACAGTGTGATAGTTCTTGGTTTTGTTGGATTTTCACAAAAATTTTATGAGTCCATTAACACGAACCTTGTCAGTGAGGAATTGTTGTGATTACGTGGGAGGAAAGCTTTGACTTTTTTTTTTTGAAGCTGAGCTTTAATTTCTTTTTTGATAAAAAGGACTAACAGTTAAGAGGAGTTTTATAGGCGGTCTTTTTCTTCTCAGGTACCTCTCTTGTTGAGTATGGGAGAGGAAGACAGAGCCTTGAGCAAGGCAACCGAAAGTGGGGATACTGATCTTGTTTATCTCATTCTATTCCATAGTTGGCCAAAGGTATATCTTCTAGAGAGATGTAAATAATATTTTGCATTAGATAATTGTGTAAATTAATGTAGTTTTTCATGGATTAAGTGAAGTAGTTTGTTACTCCCTTGAAATGGCATATTTCTAGTTATTTAAAAGTGTTTTGGATGCAGAAAAGCCCACTGGAGTTCTTTGGAATGATACAGATGAAACCTTTGGCTCGTGACCTGTTCATCTCCTATGCAAGGTATTACAATTTTAGAATCGGGTCTTCTTTTACTGAACATTCGGAATCAAGAATATATATAGTGTTCCAATTTTCTTTCCAATGTTGTGAGTGTTCTCCTGCTTGTAGGTGCTATAAGCATGAATTCTTGAAGGACTTTTATTTGTCTGCTGGAATGCTTCATGTAAGTTCAACTTCAACTGATGTCCTTTCCATCACTAGTCACAATTTTCATAGGGTTTTTTGTTGTATATATTTGATGATTCGGCAAGAGGTAGATGTGAACATTAAATGTGGCAAATGCGTAAGTGAACTACTTACCCAAAAAAATAAATGCGTAAGCGAACTTAGGGACCCCTGCTTACTCACAAGATTAGGTTTCTACTTTAGTTTTAGACGATTATGTAGAAAATAACTCTATAGAGCTGATAGCTCTTTTATTTCTCAAAGACATCTGCCTGTCTCCACAGCATCAAATGATGCATCATATTACATTCAAACTATCATCTTCCAGATGCATTGTGTCGGAGATTCCTAGAATTTCATTGCCCCACCAAGAAGATATTTACCCTTTGATTGCATGGTTACCACGGCTCGAATTTATCTGATTACACAGAGAGGAAAAACTTTCCAAACTGTCCCACTAAAACCTTCTTTAATTATGCCCATAATTATTGAGACCCCCTGCCCTAACCCCCCCTCTCTTCAAGTCCAACACACACATATTACAGTTCCCTATGAGAAATATCTCCACACCTTCTTAACCCTGTTTTGAGAAGCTTCACCAATGCTGTAGTCAAAAAGTGTTTGGCTGCCAGGAAGTTTACACTCCAGGTGGCTCCAGAAGTGCCAGGTGGGCACTTGATATTGTAGGTAGGCAGTAATTACTGGGTAAAAAAAAATTGAACAATGTAAATAACTTCAAAGAAGGTACATGCATATAGGTTATGCTGTTAATGTAATTATAAGTATGGATAGATTATAAAGCCCCACGTTTTTTCTTTTGATGGCAACACGTCATGGTTCATTTGTCAATCGGTATGAACATTTTTATTTTTCATTATTACCCAACTAAGAATATATGAATTAAAAGAAAATAATTCATAAAAGAAAATAGGAGGTAGTAGTCTAATGGGTTTCGCGCCCTTAATAGATTTGCTTTTTCCTGAGGTGAATGCTTCCTGCAAAACTTATGACTAGTTACACTTTGAAGGGTAGGAAAGTAAGATTGAGACAACCTTTTTGAATATTATGATTGGGGCATTAACTGCTGCATTTGGGAAATTGCCTGTGTGCTCCGAAGCATTTTATGGAAACTCAAACTCTGAGACATTTTAGAGTGTGTCCCTTGTCCTAATATTCATATAGAGTAGGTCAGAATAGAACGCTACTACTCAACAAAAAATGTGCCACTTGTACGTGGCATGTTGTCACTGTTTCAGACTTTGTGGTCTTCCACCACTTAGCCAGAGATATGGCACTCATAATCGCATTTTATCACTGCTTCGCATTTTATCACTGCTTCAGACCTTCTATTGTTCCTGTTTATTTCAGTTACAACTTTTTTTAGCAGAAGAAACGTTTTGCTTTCACAATTTCAGTATGTTGAGTGTGCCAGCTTCTGGATGGTCATAAATACTGGGCATTTTGCCAGTACTCAAACAAGGGTTCTTAGACAGTCCTGAATTTAGTGGTTGAATCAAAATGTAGATGCTAGAATGATACAGGAATTTTAAGAATGTTTGGAATCAGTGCTTCAGAAGTTGCTTGCATTCCTCAACTGATGGGGAATTATAATGTAAATATCAGTTGCCATTATCATGGGTTAAAGTTAAGTTCTGGGTGGTCCTTATGTTATTTATTTTTCTGTCCTTAAAATAATCAGTGAAAATATGTATTCATGATTTATTGTCTTACCCCAGCATCAGCTTTATGATTTCTCATAATACTCTTATTCTAGATCTGATCAAAGGTAGTTTTTAATACAGGATTTGGCGTTCCTCTTATGGAGGGAGTCTTGGGAGCAAGGAAAGAACCCTTTGGCTAGTAAGGGATCACCTATACATGGACCACGAATAAAGCTTGTTGAGCAAGCTCATAATCTTTTCTCAGAGACTAAAGAGCATGCCTTTGAGTCAAAGGCAGCTGAAGAACATGCCAAGCTGTTGAGGTAAATTATTACTGCTTGTGAACTGGAGAGTCTGAGCAGTTACTGATTTTAGTCTAGCTGACTGTGAAATTCCAAGTATTCCCTGCTTAACAAAAGGATATGAGAGAAGGTTGGAGTTTCTGAATTTCAGATTCTTTGTTGCTATGTTAATCTTGATGTATGGTTAGGACTGCCACTCAACTGGGTCTTTAGGACAGGCTATAATTTGTTCTATGGCCATGTATTTGTTGGATGAAGTCTCTTTTTCAAAACTTTCACTTTTCCTCAAGAAAATGCTCCAATTTAGGACATAAAAGCCCCTTTCCAAAAGGAATGTTCAAAGGGTGGTGGTTCACTGGCACTGATTTTATTGCCCAAATTGGAGAAACCATAACCTAATAATTCTGGAAATCCTGAATTGTAGACAACATAAAAGGTGTTCAATTTTCTTAGACCTACGACCTTTAAAAGCTTTCAAACCCTGAAGTCAGTCGATAGGCTCTTATAATCCTACTGCTTTCTTCCTTTTATGCTTCTTAATTCACTAATACTGGCCAGTTAATCTGAATATACTAGAGTGCAGCATGAATTAGAAGTTTCCACAAAACGGCCACTGTTTGTTGACTCTAGTGTGAGTGACACAATTCGGACATGTATAACTTTGGGATATGAACAAGCTGCTGCTAAAGTCCGGGCAGAATTTAAGGTTTACAATTTGTGTCCCTTATACTCCATGTTCTTGGTTCAATTTATTTTACTTTTTTTCAAAAGAATGACACTGGATGGACTTTCATTATCTTATGCTATTTTTAGGTACCGGAGAAGAGATGGTACTGGCTGAAACTATTAGCTTTAGCAGCAAAGGGAGACTGGGATGGCCTTGAGAAATTCTCCAAGGAGAAGAGACCTCCGATTGGTAAAATACCCTTTCTATCTTTAGTTTTGATGGCACTTAAATTAGGTCGCTGTGTTCTTTGTTATATCTCTTGATAATTGACAAATGCTAGGTTTTGCTATTATCAAGTTCTACGATGAATTTGAAAAGCCTTATTCTGTATTCTAGGCTGTCTTTAAAGTTAAATGGATATACTAAATTCAAACCCCTGATGGCTCCATTGGCTAGGAAATGGCAGTTTTTGTTCTTTATGATGTATGAAGTGTATTTGGTATTTCATTGCAAGTGAACTTCACGAGCTGATCTGAAGTGTTAAAACCCGGTTTATTCTTGTGTCTGCAACAACATAAAATAGTTTTAGAACCATGGAAATGAGAATGCTCTTCTGAGTCTGAACTCTATAGCCAAATCGTACTTCTTTGGTTCTCCATTTCGTGATTCTTTATTAATCGTTCATCTTGGTGAGCATGTGTGCATGTGTATGTGTTCTTGGTCGGCCTCAATGGTTTTCTCATAGGCACACAATTTGTTTTGTGTGAAGCAATAATATATACTTGCAAATGTTGTCGTTTGTGGAACTTACAGGTTACAAGCCCTTTGTGGAAGCATGTATTGATGCTGATGCCAAAGGGGAAGCTCTCAAGTACATACCAAAACTCACAGATCCACGGGAGAAAGCTGAGGTATCACTGGACAGCTTATTTAGTTTCTTTTGAGATAGATGTAGTGATTTTCACTGTTTCGTTGAACAATTCGGTTTCCAGTCATTTAGATTGTTACAGTAGAGATGAAATTATGCTATAATCCAATGGATTATGGAGCCCTGTAGTCCATGGATCTGTCCATGGAAATGATGGATGTCGATGGAAGGTTTTCTCTCATCAGAGGTGAAATAGGACAAACTTGTTCAATTTTCTGCCGCACCACACCCATGTTAATGTGTATACCCATTTGCAGAGAGAGAGAGCTTTCCTCACCATTCTTTGGTGACTGCTGTGATTTATTTTTTGTTATCATGTTATTGAAATGCTGAATATCCTGGCTTGGGGCTGTTAACAGTTTTATGCACGTATTGGGATGGCAAAGGAAGCGGCCGATGCTGCATCTCAGGCCAAAGATGGTGAGCTGCTCATCCGTCTCAAGCAAACGTTCTCCCAAAATGCAGCTGCAACTGCCATTTTCGACACGCTTCGAGACAGATTATCCCTTCAAGGAGTGTCATAGTTATTGATTTCTCTCCTCATTTTTCCCCTTTTAATCCGATCCCCCCCTTTTATTGTTGATTGGTATTTTGTTTTGTTACATTTCTGCTATTTCATATCTCTGAAATGGCTTTGGTTTGTGAAAGTTGGAATGGCTTGTGAAAGTTGTCAGGATCGTATGTTTCTCTTTTGGAATGGTTTGTGACATAGCTCGACTTACCTATCTGTGTAAATGGATTTAAATTAGAAGGTGGGGAACCTGTTATTTGATCGTCTTTTAAGAAGTAACTCATGTGTTATCCTTTCTGGTCACTGTCCTAGTGATGATTATCGCCAATAATTTCAATTTGTCAGTTTTTCATTGTAATATTTGAAATGTTGATATTATGCGATTTTATTCTGAAATTCAAATTATCGTGATAAAAACAAGCTTCCTTATAATATTGCTGTAACTAAATCTGGCGATAATAATGTTCATGGAGACCACCAATTCGCGTGATTTTTTTTTTTTTTTGAACTAGAGTACTTAACCTTCATTGCAATATGGCAAAACAAAATACATTGATTAAAAAAAGGCGGAAGAAATAACTAAAAGCATCACGATTCACCCTTGTTTTTGGCCAATTCGTCACCAAACGAGTTAGCTTCCCTTTGAACATGTTGAAAGGGAACTACCGTCGAGGACAAGGAGTTCATGATCTGTAACCATAATGCTCTTAGTCTCCAAGGGGGTTTAGAGACATAAGAAGAGTTGATAATCTTGAGAGAGTGCCCTTCTATAACCAAAGCATTCCCCATACTCCTTTCTTTCAAAAGCCCTTGCAACAAGAAGGCAGCATGATTAGCTATAACCACCTCATACGGGCTAGCAAAGCAAAATAATAGAAACACCACCCATTCTAGCATTCTTTGGATTTTCGAAAGAACAATTAAATTTAATCTGAAAGCTTCCTTCTATTGGTGGGATCCATTTCACTCTCGGTCGAACCTTAAGAAAACATTAACTTTAGAAACCCCATACCCCTCATTCGTCACTAGGAACCAATTCCACACTGTATTCAGAATTCTATTTTTGAGTTCAGTTCCAATAGACCTAGTGATACTACATAAAAATTTCTTCTATTCGTCTCTAACCACAACTTCCAGATAACAATAACAGCACCTCTCAAAAATGTCCCAAATCAATCCCCTTATTTTTGGGAAACCAACCAATTTCAATTGTTCTAAAATATTGATCAAAGAACCTGACCATCACAATCCCTACCTTTTGCAAAGCCCACTGCCAAATGTGAATCTAAAGGCGGCCATGAAAAAATAAGTGAATACAGCTTTCTTCATCATTTTTACAAACAAACACACATTCACTAAAATCTTTCCCCTCTTTCGTAAATTGTCCACAGTCAGAGCCTTATCTTGAATCATAGTCCATAAAAAACCTTTGAACTTTTTAGGGAATTTTCCACCTCCAGATATCATTAAACTCCGCTCTAGTCCACCCAATTCGATTATGGAATAACAACGCATAAGTAGACCTTACCGAGAACTAGCCATTTGAGAAATGTTTATGTTAGCTAATCGATGAAGAGGATCGGCAATTTGCTTGAAAATTTTTGTTATAAATATAGAGCGATTGATGGTATTAATTGTAAGTTGCTGTTTTGAAAAGATTGTATTTAAGAATTGAAATTTGGTCATCCATGAAGAAATAGGGTCCACCTTTTTTAAGAAAGAGGATTGGTGTTGAAATTTGAAATAAAAAAAATAAAAAAAAATCCTTGTGAACGCTAAATATGGAAGCCTAACTGCAAAACAAATATATAGGATTTCTCTTATGGAAAAGTTGTTCTTTATTATCCTCTTATTGATATTTTCATAATTAACAACACGTAAATATATTATAATATATAAATATTAAATAGCAAAGTTAACTTTTCAAAATTAACACTTGCTATTATAATTTTTATTTTTATATTTTTAGGTAATATTCAGTTATTCATTAGTAAAATGTTTTATTAGAATATATTTTATAATATTCATTTGGGATTGTATACAATGAGACAATTTACCTTTGATATAAGATGGTCACAATTCTTTATAACCATTTGATGTAAAATTTGATAGCTTGGATTTGTCACAAAGTTTGAAAAAAATTATTTTGAAGTTTGAACTTGGTTAACGAAATAATTGCAACCACTCAATTTCACATCCAATGATTAAAATTAATATGACCACCTTGGATCAAAGATAAATGCTCCCATTTTAAACTTTCCCTGTACAAAAACCCGTATCAATGTAATATGCCCATAACGATATCTCACTAAGGACACTGCTATGCCCCACGGAAAGGGTGCATTTGTTTCTTATGGAAAGTGTTTTGCTTGGGTTTCCAAGGGGTTAGTATATTTTTTTCTCATGTATTAACTTGTTGGGGGAAAGCTTGTTCTTTTGTTCAGTAATCTGTCGTTCGTTTGTTTAGGAACTTGTTTGAAAAACTATTTTTCAAGATCTAGAATAGAGTTTTTTTTTTGTGCTTTTTTTTTTTTAATTGCTCATTACATGATCAGCTTGATACCTATTCAGTGAAGGAGATATTTTAAAAACAAGACATCTTATATGTCAGCTAGTAAAAAGAAAAAAGAAAAAAAAGAAAGGGAAAAGTTTATACAGAGCCGAGGCTCTAAACAATCAAATTAAAACCTACCTCAAAATTTTCTTTAGAAGAGATTGTTTTAATGGCCAAATATCCTCAAATTGATCATCGTCACATCAAGATGCATGAACATAGAAAAAAATGGATTTTAAGTTTTCGAAATAGTCTATTTTGTAACGAAGTTTTGAACTGTCAATTTTCAATATTTTCAAGTTTTCATAGACTTACACTATTTTTGAAACTCTAAACTTTATATATAAAGATGAAAGTATATTTTAAGGCTATTAAAAAGATTTTCAGTATTGAAACCACATTTCTCGATACTATTTGAATGTAAGCTCCAATTTGATTGTTTAGTGCGTATGCAAACCGCACCAAAAAAAATAGGCTACAAAGGGGAACTAGGGGTAAATAAGTAGCATATTATAATAGTGAAATCCAGCTAAACAAATGGTGAACTGAAATTTACTACCATGAACTCCTTTGACTTTTACCAGCACAGGGCAAGGCGTGAACCCTGCGTGGACTGCCAACCAGAGTTTGGCAGCCGAAACTTAAGGATTCAACGGCTCTTTTTAATTTTTAAGAGCACCTCAAAGAAACAATGGCCATTTTTAAACCCTATGGATTTTAATATCTTACATGTAATTAATGGCAAGTGACACTTCCAACTGGTTTCAGTCCATGGATTCCCATTACCTCAACCCCTAAAGTTCCTCCTATAAATTGAGACCAAAGTTGAAAGAAAATTCCTCTGTAGCGAAACACCTTGATCTTGGATCCATTGCCAAGCTCTCCAAGTTTACCAATGGAGCTCTTCAATATGAAAGTATTGGCTTTTCTTGCAGTTGTTTTAATGGCAATTATGGGTGAGATTAAGGGAGATGCTTATGGTAATCAGGCACCGCTCCACCTTTTGCTGTGTCCGGGAAAACACAGCCTCCACAAAGGCTGAGCTGCTTCAAAGCGAAGACAAAATGTTTCCGGTAGACGATCGTGTGCCTGGATCAATGCCCACAATTCAAGCCTGCCGATCCAACGGCCAAAGCTTGTTATGTGAATTGTAACTCGCCAACATGTGAAGCTGTGTGCAGAAGTAAGTGAAGCTCTTTTCATATTTTATTTCTTTATCTTTTCTCTTCTTAATTTTTTTGGGGTCCTGAGAAAGGAAAAAATGTACCATTGCTCAAACTAGTCTTTTAGAAGTAAAAGTGATGATTCATTTTTTTAGTAAATATGCTGGCTCATCTTAAACATGTGGATGCTATTTGAGCTCAACAAAATTGACTAAAAGTACTGTTCATGTACCTAGCTTGTTAAGTATGTTTTAGAAACTTCATTTGTTCACATGTACAAACACGCACAAATCATGTAAGTGGTAAAGAAACTTAGGCAACAGAATTCATCATTTTCCTGAATGAGCATTTCTTTGGGTAGGCAGAGTTGGATTCAAACCGACAACCTCCTAGGTTCAGCATCAAGTGCCTTACAGTGAAATACCTCAACAATTTTATGTTAAAAATTGTTTAGGTATTCACCTGATATTAGGGATTTTGCCTGTTTTCTATCTCAAAAGCATCTGTTGGGGGAGTGCCCAACCATGTTTTGTTCAGAATTAGTCCTCCAATCTCTTCCATTTCTGTCTAACACCGTACTTTCAGTCATGGGTTGCAACAGAGGTTAGGCATTCGAAACGGCCTTGCTCAATGGACTATGGACTATGGTACGCCCATGCATGCTGGTTAATGAAATGATGGACGGTGATGATAGGGACTATAACTAACCCATTAGAGGAGAAAATGAATTCCCCACCAATCCATGAGCCCATTACATGGTAATAGACTAAGGTTTTTGAAAGTCCATTGCCTCCCAAAACACACATAATTGACTGCTGGATTGCCATTGAAACACGCTTTGGTTATGGAAGGTTCCTAGTGTTTGAGGCATTGGTTTGTTAAGATGTGGCATTGGTCTAGTAACTTGCATGAGGCGATCCATAATTTATGGAGGGAGTCCCCCCCTGTTTTTGATATTTTCTATGTAGTTCAAATCCAGAAAATAAATAAAAAAATGGTCCAAATTTGCCCTAGTCTCATTATTCATACCAACATTTTTCAGAAATAGAAGTTTTAACTTTCAAAATAACTGGCTAAGATTGTGGTTAATATTTATGGAGATCAGTAAATTATGATTCACCTCGGGTCCCTAACTGGTTATTGTTTTCACTTCATGGCGATAAACCGATCGAAGGCCTAACTGTGAGGGAACTGTGGCAGCATGTTACGATCCACGCTTCGTGGGTGGAGACGGCGTCATGTTCTACTTCCATGGCCGCACTGGAGGAAACTTTGCCCTCGTCTCCGATCCCTCCCTCCAAATCAATGCCCGCTTCATTGGCCTCCGCCCCTCTCACCGCACCCGAGACTTTCAATGAAAGGCCTTTTGTGTCAATCACTTGAAAAATCCCACTTGCAATGGGAAAAGTCTTTATGTATTCCTTTTTTTTTTTTCCTATTATAAGAAGTATCACTTAATGCAGCGTGGTTCAAGCCAAGGTTTTAAAAAACGTCAATCCAAATCGAAACCAACCAATGCAGATCAAGAATCGGGGAAAGATTCAGCTCCGCGAAATATCAGGAAATGACAGGTTCTCCCCATGACACGGCCGATTCTCTGACATAAACAGTTAAAACCAGCCTCAAATTTTTTTTATATTTCTTATATTTATTTATTATTGACTAGATTGCCGATCTGGATTGCATATCCACCAAATGGGATTGAAAATCTAGATGCACAATCTAGATCTCACCATTCCGTTTTTTGAAACCTTACCAGCCCTTAGAATACAACTATGCCTGCTGAATTTGACATTTCATGATATTGATTATTCTAAAATCATGCTAAACTATTGCACAACAGGGCATGAAAAAGAATAGGGAAAGCGGAGTACACCACATATAGTTAGTTAAACGTAGTATATGGTAAATGGTAAGTAATGGATGCAGCTAGCATCCATTCCCAAATGCAAACGGCCAAATTTGACATTTATCCAGTAATCTTAAAACTTGATTTCCACCATCCAGCTCAGGGAATAGCGCATATGATGTCAAGGAAAAAGACGAAGAACTCACCAAAAGCCCCAGATATTGATGGCCAATTTCATTGGACTGTACATCACATAGACCCAAGTTTACTCTCATTGTTGATCATATTGAACACAATCAGCAATTTCCCATTATTTTCATGCTCGTTAAGGAAATTCTTGCCTTAGTAACAGTCTTCTGCAATACTACTCAGACCTTGGCCAAGAACATTATCTCGGCCAAATCCTTAGTAATGAACTATATAGACGCACACCAAATCTTACCTTGGCTGAGGCAAGTATCACGGCCAAGTCCTTGGTAACGAACCATCATAGACACTCACCAAATCTTCCTGGAACTGCAGCACCCCCTTAACCCGTACATCAAATTGGAGAAGAATACTTGATTTGATTCGCCATATGATATAGAATGGTGCCAGTGCATTTATATATGGTTTCAAAGGAATCAAAGTTAACCCCATCCCCATGATATTTATGCTCTATTTTTATTTTTTGTAATTATCAATGCAGGTCAAAGCAGAGACCATGGTGCTTGATGGCGATCCCAAGGAAATGATATGAAGCTGTTGAACAGACACATGCAGACCTCCTTGTCGTTGGGAGTCATGGTTTCGGTAAGATCAAGAGGTGAGATGACTAGTTTATGCAGTTTAAAGGTTTTTCCCCTCTCATTTGATGAACTCTTCCTTTTCATAAACAGTATGAAAGTTTTCCTATGAAGTTCAGTTTATGACACAAGTTTGTGGGATGATTAACACAAAAAAGAATAACTGAATGCAGAAATCAAATCTTATTCTTGTTCTCTTTTAACAGTTTCCTGCAACATTTTCAAAAAAAAATCTGAATGTTTTATACCCTACCGACAATTTAGAGCATAGATACATAATGGAAAACGGTTTGATAAGGCTGCATATCAAAACTCACATAAAAATGGTAATTCTGGTGCTAGGCATCCTTCAAATTGATAATCTCGGCCTTGAATATTATTGTTGTAAAAAAAATGATTTCAAGTCTTAAAGAGTGTGTATTGTAACAAATTACGTTTTGCCCCTAAAAAAAAAAAAGAGTACACGAATCCGTAAGATTTGTACTATTTTTTATCTTCAAATTTCATAGTTGGCATTGGAAATTGATTTTAAAGCTATTGTATATATTTCCAACATCCTAAAACACAAACGAGAATTTGAGGTGAAGTTCTACTTTGTTTTCATAAAACCTAAGTCTTATAGATCAAGATTTGTGTAGGCAATCTCAAATAGTTGGAAAAATGCTATAATGATGATAACATTTAGGACCTCGATACATTTTTTAACCAAAATTTACTAATTGTTTGTAAATCTTCACTCGCTAAGTCAAACACACTATAGACATCGCATTTACAATATCAAAAAATTGAATGGTTCCCTACTCGAATGTTCAGAAACATTTTAAAATCATATTGAGGTCATATCAAAGAACCAGTAAGAACAATCTCTTGCAAGTCACATTTTAAAATGTTCGGCCAAGTAAGAACAATATGAGGCACTAAGAACAATGGTGGATTGGTTGACTTCGGTAGCGACCATCCGGACAGATTTTTATCTTGCTAAACAGGGGGAATTTTGCCATTTGTGGTGGGGGAAGCAGCATTTTAAATCCGAATCAGGTTCCCTGGCCATACTAATTCTCCACCGAGGGAGTCGATCACAAAAATATTTAAAAGATACTAAAGGTTCAAAAATAAAAATAAAAAATACGAGCGATTCAGTTCATTCATATCACCAGTTCATCCAGATTGCCTGGTTCCTTGAGCACATCATTGATTCTGTCACTATTTTTCTCCAACAGCTCCTCTTCTCGAAAATAAATATGCACAAAAGCCATTCCCAAATAACTCTCTCTCTCTCTCTCTCTCTCTCTCTCTCTCTCTCTCTCTCTCTCGTCTCGTCGTCGTCGTACGTCGTACGTCGTACGTACGTACCGTACGTACGTACGTACGTACGTACGTACGTACGTACGTTACGTTAACGTT